AGTAAAGGAGGCCTCTTCTTACCTCATACTGTACATCTCTAGTAGAGGGACGTTCCTGTGGGTCCTCTTCCAACCAACGCTGGAGGTCATGGTTGGCCCGCTGTGCCTGTTGGAACTGAGCTGCACTGGCGACTTGCTCCAGATTTGTCTTCCTCGCTTCTGGAGGGACTTGGGGTGACCAGCTCCCCTAGCCACCCATTGCCCCGTTGCAGCTGCCATTGCTCCTCTTCAGCTGCTCTGACCCTTTGTAACACATCATATGTGGGTTTCCACTCCCTGATGACAACCAGCTCACAGGCTAACTTCTGGGTGAGCCCCACTCTCAGCTCTCCTTTGAACTCCATCACATGGATGGGTGTATAGCAGCTGTTGAACTGCATTTCTGCTCCAAAAATACATGTAATTGGGAGCAGCTTGGCCCAGCAAACCTTGAGCTTTAGCACGAGTTCAGCTTGGATGAGGGATTGTGAGCACCCAGTATCCATGGTGGCTCTCACCAAGCACTCTCCAACCCAGGTGATAATGACCAGGGCATTTCCACCTGCCTTCTTCAGCCGTTGTGCCATACCTACTGTCCATGGGTTTAGCCCGTTCCCCTTTCCTGGGTCTGTGCCTGAAGAACTGTTGGCCTCACTAACCTGCCCAGATCACTTAGGTAGAGCTGACACTCCTTGGAAATGTGACCCACTTTCCCACAGCAGTAGCATACCAACCCACACAGTGCTGCTTTCCGTGTCCCCTGTTCTTTTTCCTTCTCTTGAGGTACACTGTGGCTTGGGTGCTGGAGGCCTCTGCGACAGCCATGCTCACCCTCAGATATTGTGAATGCCTCTGCTAAACAGAGTGCCTCATTACAATTATGTGGCTGGTGGCAGCACACCCACTGCTGTATAGCTTCCTCAAAGTCCCACAGAAATTGTTCCAGGAGGACCTGGTAAATCACCCACCCCATCCTGATCATACAGCCTGTGGGGGAGCCATTTATTCAGCACATCCCTCAGGTACTGTATCAGGATACGAGGCCTCTGTTCCTTGCATGCCTTACAGGCCCTGAAGGATAGTTTGTAATTTTCAGGATTGATCTGTAGGCGGTGTAAGATTGCAGCCTTCACTGTATCATAGTTGCATGCCTCTTCCCTAGAGAAGGCTTGGTATGCCACCTGAACCTTATTAATAACCAGAGTCCCTAGCTGATGGGCCCACTGGAAGCGATCCAGCTCAATATGAAGAGACATCAAAAACCCCTCTATGTAGGCCTTGGGGTCATCATCTTTTGTCATGCATGGCATTTTAAACAATGATAAATTCCTCTGGAGCCAATCTTGTTGGTGCACTCCCTGCTGCTGCCGCCTCTCTAATACTTGGCTTATGGCCTGAAGGGTCTGGCCTAGCAGTTTTGCACGTGCCATCGTTGCCACTTACATGGTAGTTACTTCCCTGGGTCTGGATCACTGATCCATTATCCCAATATTTCCTGGCCAATGCACCACTGTCACGCCTGTCTTACTGATGAATGACCATGAGATTACCCTGAGCAGGGCCCTTCCCCAACTTGCCTGCCACTTCTTCATGATATTTCAATAGAAGGGAGGGTTCAATGATGTAACAGGTGGGTCCCCATAGGAGTACTTACGGTATTGGCTATGGCTGACTTGGGGCTCCGCCTCCCCTACACTCCATCCACTTGCCAACCATTGATGTTGATACTTTGCAATCCACAGTAGCCGCTCCAGCTCTCCTGCCCTGCTCGTGTCTTGCCAACTAAAGCTCCGACATCCAGCCCTATGCTGCGCCAATTCAGGGTGTGACATGAGTGTGCCCGGCCTTCTCTTTTGCTGCTTGACACCAAACCCTATCCTTGGGCTCATGGCTCTGGGCCTTCCCTTCCCTCTTGACCCAACGGGTCCTCAAAAAAACCCACGTGCAAAAAGAAATAAAATAAAATAACCAAAGGGTTGTCTCCGAGAAGCTGAGACAAGCCCCAGCAGGCTATCTCCTTCCTAGGTCTCCCTTCCAGGTGGAAGCAAGGGAGGAGAGGGAGGTTAAAAGGACTAGCAGGAGTGCCTGCCTTCTCATGGCCCTATCTTAGTGGGAACGCAGCTACTTGGGTGCCCCAGTACTCTGGTGCCCCTCAACATCTCCCACCCTTGGGCTCATTCTACCTTGAGTCAGGTCCCTATCTCCTCCCCCTCCAGCTCTTCGGCACCATCTGTGCCTTTTAAAATTTCCTGTGGCAGTGCCTGGGGCTGACATCAGCTGAGTGCTGCTGAGCCACACCAACAGTGTGCTTAAAAAGCAGTGCTACAGTACCACATGCTGTACTGTTCCAAACTCTCTTTGCCTCACACGTAAGTTTTCTGGATCCCCTGCCATTCTCCTTGTGGGTCCAACGGGGCTCTTGGGGGTTTGGCTGGATGTGTGCAGTCCTTGCCACCACACTAAGCAAGCGTCTTCTGACTCAAGCTCTGCTAAGATGTCTGAAAATCATGACACTCATGCTGAGGCAACCCAAATCACTCTTCACCATGGAAAGCTCAGATTTAAAGTTGTGCTGGGCCACACAGCAAGTCAACAGCAGAGCCAGGGACAGTCTGGAGCTCCCCTTCAATAAAAGTTTCTAAAGGATGGAACTGTAGAAGTGGGGGATATTCTATTTTAATTTTCACACATTGAGCAGTTGGATCCATGAAGGGATTTGTACTTTAAGAAAGAAAGTCAGTATTATGTCAGGGAGTTGTAGATGCAAGGGGAAAGGAAAGGGCTACCAAATGCTTCCCCCACCATGGTGTACACCAGTCCCTTCACAATAGGGTAGCCACTCAAGGGGCCACTTCATGATTCTCTCCCACCTTTTCCAAAAACACATCTCCTTGTTTCATGCTTGGGTAGAGAACAGCAATTCTTCTCAAAAGGTTGCTTCTCATTGCAAATCAAATGAGTGCTGCTTAACGTTTGGACTAGAAATCCTCCCTCTAGTTGACAAAAATGGTCCTCTTCACCTGGAAAGCCAACTGTTTTTAGCATAAAGCAGTAAGATAGCATAGGTGGAAAAGCTTGATTTACGAAGGAGCATTTTGTTTCAACTGACCAACATACAGTTATGCTCTTTGGGAACCAGATTAAACATATCCCTTTTAGCTACGCATTAGCAAATGTTGCTTACCAGTACCCACCTCAGGCAGGACTGAGAGGACCGAGTTTACACAAGAGTCACAGCAGTTTACAGGCCACTTTGCTCATCCTGTGGCTTCCTCCTCAGGCTTAGTGAGTACTTGCAGGCATTAGAATCAATACTTACTCTTGGGCAACTTCTGTGTTTAAAATTACTTGGGATCTCCTGGTTTCCACCAGATGCTCTGAGTTAGCTTCTGGCCAATTAGCTACCTGCTTGAGAAAGCTGATGACTCCTGTTCCAGACCTGTCTGCAGATGTTACTGATTTTTGTTTGATTTAACCGTGAATAGCTTAGTGAAGATGAATGATCAGCTGCACACAGATGAGCAGATGGAAGTTAAGCTAAAATGAGGAGGCTTGTAGAAGTTTTGCCACTCAGTCCCAGATCCATTCTACATATTGGGTTGTGCGGTTTACAGGACTGGACTCAGAAACTGCTATTTGGCCTGGATCCTGAACTGCTTGTGAGCTGTTTGACCCAGCTTAGAGGGGGTAGGGTGTGCAAAACTGGCTGTGTGCAAAATTATACCAAGACACCATCTTACAATCAGTTCTTCACTGGCATAATTTAGGGAAATGACCACAACCCCAACTTAAGGTATCATTCTAAGAATCTGGAATTGTAGGAGCAAGGTTCCTCTACAATGCCCAGCCTTCCACAAGGAAATGTAATGTAAAAGAAGGTATATTAACCCAAAGCACTCAGAAAGCTCATTTCCAGGGCAGACGTCTCAGGGACTGAACCTGGCTCCTGTGTTACTTGACTGCTCAGAGAAGGGGCTGCGACATGACTTACTGGGTTCAATGGAAGTTAGTTGCACAAAATGACAGCAGGACTCGTTTCCCTAATTTCTTGTGCACATAAAACTCTGATGACATCATTGGCAATTTTCGGCGCACAGCACAGGAAGTTATGTCTTCATGCTATTAGGTAATGTGTTCATAACAGTTGTTTGTGTTCCTAAATATTCAAAAGGCATTATTATATTGCTTTCTACTGGAAAAACTCAATTCCAACTTAACTTCAGTAAATGGAAAAATAAACTTCTCACTAATGAGCAATACTTTACCGTGAGCATCGTCACTGCAAAGCTGAACTCAGAAACTCACTGTAGTTAGCTTTTACCCTCTTATTTCTGACCCTAAAATCCTTGTACTAGGCAATGGGCATGTTCTAGGACAATTCTAAGAACTAAGAATTCTAGGTGATACTAAAGTCCTAGCTGGCCAGCTCCGATTTCTGTTTATAGAGATAGACACAACTCAATTAATCCTAATGTGCTGGGGAGGGGAAAAGTATTTGAAAGAAATCCTGTGATCTACAAGCTCCTCCTCAACATTTGGAGTTCATTTAAGTAATGCTTATTAAATGGCAGGGTGGAAAGATACATGGCACTTACTATATAACATAGTGTTAAAGTTGAGAGATCAAGATTAATTGGGAAATTACACAAATTCACTTGCAGCCTCCAGCATTTAAGGTCTAAGAAGTTCTGATTCAGAGGTGGTATCCATAACTCTGATGGTCATGATAAATGTATATTCCAATAAAGTTACAGTTGTTCTTGCTTTGATTTTAAGTCAAATAATATAGACCTAGGCCCTGCAATATTAGTAAAACATCTACTGTTGTGTTATATGTGATAGTGCACTACATTATCTTGCACCTCCCACTTTTAAAAATCCTAATCCGCCCCTGCTTCTAAACTGCAAAACAAACAAGAATATTACAGTACAGACAGAAACAACTTTACTTCCTTCATGAGGATGATGAAGTTATGAGAAAGGGGCAAATAAACTGCTCTTAAAAACAAACTACTCCCTAAACTGTTTGAAAACAGCTTTATTTAGAGTAGTATACAACATACATATGAACACAGACAAACAGATAACATGTATCTTCAAGAGGCTGGAAGAGTAGATTAAATAAAAGAAGACAAATGAACTCTCATCTAGTTGAAGATGCAATAAGAACTGAAGGAAAAATCTACCACACACTGCTTTATGCTCTTCTATAAAAAGTTGCTCTATCTCCAACCTATCATCATATTAACATTACAAATATTTATAAATTAGTCAGAATTTCAATATTCAAGTTAAAATGTCATTAACAATTTCTGATGTAGCAAAGGATAATTTTCTGTTTGGTGGCATTGCTGTTAAGCAATTTAGATCTGCGATATATTGCAGATGTCAGCACTAGTGCTTATGTCTAACATATTCAAGGGAAAAAATTAGTTTTTCCCCACTAGAGGCATCATTTGGCTTGAATACACATTCCACACATTTTTCAGCAAATATTCAGGAAATCAGGCATCCAATGTGAAGATTAATTTTGTGAAATTAGCTTGTTTTCTTGTTTCTTATTTTTACTGGTGTGATTCTTCTAGAAAATGCCACCTCTTGGGCATGTATATTACAGGGAAACAATACTTAGAATTTGTCACAGCAATCTACAGAAATACCCATGTATTTTGTTTTATTTTTTGGCTTTTTTAACAAAAATAAAACTTCTTTCTTTGTAAAGAACCATCTTAATTCAGCCTTTGTTATTCCTAGGGACCAGAGAAACTCAACTATTAAAAAAAGGCATGAATCCAGGAACTTGGGTGCACAATAAACTGTTCTCAGGTAACTCAAGCAGGATTTTTAGTGTCATAAAATGCTATTTTTAATGGCAGAAGCAGAAAATAAACCATTCAAATCAAATTCTTAGAAAGTAACACAATAGTCTACATTTTCTTTGTGTGGCAGCTTCTTGACAGATCAAATGTGCTTCAAATCTTAATCTTCTGCTTCATACCTAAAAGAAAGAAATGAAAGCTAGAGTATATTTGTTTCTGTAATCTCCTCAATGACTCTCATACCAGTCACTGATTCCAATTTCTATTGGTGGCAGTTGCACAGGCCCACTCACAAACCTCAAGATCCACAAGCAGCCTCAGAAAGACCGTATGCTCAGGCAGCCAGAATCAGCAACAAGTTAGTCTTCACCACCACTTCCTGGAAGCCTTCTCTCTAATGAAGTAATGCTGCCAGGCATTCCCTCAAGCCAGGGGATTCCTTCTACCTGACATGAACCAACGTGCCTCTTCCTCCCCCACTTAATGCAGGGCCACCCTCTCTCTATTGTATCTATCCTTTTTCGCCTGCACAGGTTTGTGGGTATTGCAAGCTTGCCAGAAGCAGCTACCACTCATTCTGTGTCTTCATATGTGGATCTTGGGGTGGGGGGGAAAAATGCTCTGACTCTTGACCATAATCTTTTGGAAGTGATATGTATCCTTATAATATTTTCTTTTCTATCATTATTGTCTCTGCCATCTGACTGCACTTCAGAGGTAACCACCAAGAGCTGCTGGCACAGATTCTTCTGAAAAGTGTAATTAAAAAGCAGCCCTGATGTTCTGAAGAGAACACTGGTAAAAGCTGGCATCACCAAGAGCTTGAAGAACAGCCCTCTTGGCTGAAGAAACAAATCTGAATTTATGATCTAGATTTAGAGAATGTTTTACATTCATAGAAACAATAAGGAGGCAGAGCAAGCATCTTGTGAGGAGAGATGAAACACCACCACTTACTTTGAAAGTCTTTTCCGTAGCTCCTTTATCTGCTCATTCTTCTTGGTGAGTATCTCTTTCATGTTGCGGTAAGCAGCTGTTTGCTGAAATTTCTTCTCCAGCTCCTGCACAGCAGAAAACCAGTGCATCATTTATGTATTTTAAACTAACAAGGATTGTGTGTGGGGGGGGGGGGGGGGGGGGGGGGGGGGGGGGGGGGGGGGGGGCACTCTAGCAGTGGCTGCTTGCAGACTTCATCTCCTACAGCAGCCCCCTGGTCAAGCTGCAGGCCTCCACAGCAACAGGGCTGCCATGGAGACTGAATTTTTTTAAGTCTAAAATTCTGTTCTCTCACTTCAGACCAGTGTTCAGTATGCTTTTTCTCCAGGTCAAAACTCTTGCTGCAGTTGCTATCTAAATTCCAGTTCACATCAAATCAATATTAAAGTGTTTATATTGGTATTCTGAAACACTTTTCTAGCTCTCGGTCATGTTGTTTGATATACAACTAGACTTGCTTTCTAACATTTTGTGTATGTATGATCTTGTCTTTTTTTTTTTTTTTTTTAATACCAACAAAGCTCTTACATGAAGAAACCAGGGGTATCTGCTTGCACAGTGCCCACTACAATATAGCTGTGTATAGGTATACCAGTCAGATGGACACCTTTATTAAAAGTAAAAAACTAAATTTGTCAGACACTGAGATTTGGGCCTCTTGGGCATATCAACAGCTACAAATGCTAGAGGTGCACTGATACAGATTTTTTGAGCCAATACTAATGGCCAACTATTGACCAGCCATATCGGCCAATCTGATTGCTGATGCGCAGCCCAGCAGCTTGGAGTAGTGTCCGGCTGGTAAGTCTGTTGGGAGGAAGGGGCATGGGGAAGGGAAGGGCCATGGAAAGGGCAAATTGAGGCCCCCACAGTGAGGGAGGGAGCAGGGCTGGGGCAGGGGATGGAGCCACGAGCCGCTCAATCAGGGGTTGTGGGGAAGAAGGAGGTGGCAGCTCCTCCCTATGTTTACTATGAGGTATAAGGCACATATTTAGTCTAAATGCAAATGGCCAACAAGCTAACATGTACACTATAATAAGAAGCTAACCTTTTCAGCTATAGATAACTGGTCCTGAACCTTGAGTAGGTCATGCTTTGTTGTCATTAAGTTCTCCTCCAAGGACTTTTGGTTTGCAGTATTGTCATTCAATGTCTTCTCAAACTGGCATTTCAGAGTAGCCACTGTATTTTCCAGTTCACTGATATCCTGGGTTATATTAGCCTTCAGAAGAAGAATCAGTAAAATATTTATTCATGATTTCCCCCCCAAATAATTGAGTCCTGCATTTAAAATGTGCTGAATACATTCAAAACAGTTTCTTTAAAAGTTGCTTTAAACAAATATTAAGAAAACTCAGAATCCAAACTACAGTGGATTCTGCTTTATAGAATCATTGGTTAATAGAATCAGCTGCTTATTTGAATCAATATGGGGAAAACAAAACCATTCATATATTATGTGTAAAAATCACTCACATTAGAATAACAATTTTCAGTTTTTGGAATCATTTACTGGAGCAGCACGGGAATTTTGCAGCCCTCTGCAAGCTGGCAGAGTTCCAGGTTGCAGGGGGCTAGGAGGGAGCAGGAGGAGGGCAGTCAGGCAGGGGGCGCCATGTACATGTACTAGACATGCACATAGCCACGCAGCAGCCTGGAGAGCAGCTCTCACAGGTAAGGGGAGGGGAGGAGGATGCAGGAGGGGGGAATTGAGCCCCAGCAGGGAGAGAGGGAGGGAGGAAGTTGGGCAGGGCCGGGGCCCCAGCCAGGAGTGGGATGGGGTCATGGGCAGTTTGTCTAGGGAGCAGTTTGTGCATGTGTGCCTGCTGCGTGCACAGTAGCTTTGAGGGGCGCTACCCCACACCACTGCCCTCACTGCCTGCACCCACCCCAACCCTGCACACAGATGTGGGAGGCCCGGGTCCCCCCTGCCCCTCCGGGAGTGTGCGCTGTGCTGGGGAGCTGGCCCCAACCCCGCAGTGGCCAGCAGCAGGTGGGGAGCCGGGCTCTGTTCTGCTGCTCAAGCCACCGCCTTCTGCCAGGGGAAGGGGGCTGCAGACACGGGTCCCTGGCACTGTAGCCCTGGCAGCTGGGGGCCCCCTCCGGCAGGGCTGGGGGGCAGGGGTGGGGAAAGGAAGTGAAAGGCACAAGCAGGGTTAGGGGGCTGTGGGGGAGGAGTGAGCATCTGTGTTCTTAAAAAAATGCATCTCCTTTTAATGGAATCGGCTGGTTAATAGAATCAAATCATCTTTTCCAATAAGAGGAATCCACTGTAGTAAACAAAACAAAACACTGTATTTAGACTTTTTAAAAGAAAAAAAAAAAAGTCAGTAGATACTATTAAAAAGGTGAATGGAAATACACCTTTTCTGCCTAGCACAAATTTCAAGTTCTCAGAGGCTGCTTCATTTTACTATGGGGGGCACAGGTAACGGGGGTCAGTCACAGCCATGGGAGGGGGCAAAGGCAGGTGGGACACACAGGGAGGGCAAAGGGTGCCCCTTGTTCCCTACCACTGCTTTCCCTGTCACAGCAGTAGGAGGGAAAAGGGAAGCAAAAAAGACAACCAATGATTTTCTTATTAGATAATTGTCTTATTTATATCATTTTGGGATCACAGGAAGTGGGGGTAGGAGGGACCTCATAAGGTCATTTAGTCCAGCCCCTGCTCAAGGCATGATCATCCCATACCAAGCCATTCCAGCTAAACACATACCTAACCTACTTTTGAAAATTTCAAAGGATGGAGATCCCACAAACTTTTCTATGTAGCCTGTTCCAATGCCTGACCACCCTCATAGTCAGAAAAGTTCTTAATCTCTAACCTAAATTTCCTGCTGCAGCTTGAGACCATTGCTATTACTCCTAACCCCTACAGCCACAGAGAAAAGCCCATCTCCATCATCTCTGTAATCAATCACCCTGCAAATATTTGAAGACTGTTATCAAGTCCCCCATCAGTCTTCTCTTCTCTAAGCTAAACAGCCCTAGTTTTTTTAGCCTTGCCACATAAGTCTTGTCCCACAGGCCCTTAATCATTTCTGCTGCCCTATGCTGGGCTGTTTCCCAATGATCCACACTTTTTGGGGGCCCAAAACTGGGCACAGTACTCCAGGTGAGGTCTCACCACTGCTGAATCACTTGCCTTGATTCGCAAATGATACTCCTGTTGATACAACCAAGGATGCTATTGGCTTTTTTTGCAACAAGATCATACTGTTGACTCATATTCAGCTTATGATCCACTGGAACCCCAGGTGCTTCTCTGCTGTATTTCTGCCTAGCCAGATGTTCCACAGTCGGCATTTGTGCCATGTATCCATGCACAGAATCTAATTATTGGGGGTAGTCTTAAATTCAAAGTCATCTTGGACTCAGATAAATACAGTATTGATTAGAGACATGGCCATCATCTATCCTAGGCTGGGATGATGAAGGAAGTTAAGAATATGTATGTATCCTGAACTAAGTTAAACTGGACCATTAGGGCATGGCTGAATATTAGTAAAATAATTAAGTTCACTGTGCTAAATTATACATTGATACCAACTATATCATAAAACAGATGCTAGCCATGTAATCATTTTAAAAAAATGTGTAGTATATTCCTTCTCTTTATTCCCATTAGCAAAACATGTTTTTTGTAAGTTTCAGAACAGAAATAATTCCAGTACGGTTGTCATTATTTTGACAAGGAAATCAAAATCCTTAAAGACAGCCATTTAAAATAACCATGAATCTAGTAGACTGACTGAAAAGTATTTCAACTGGTGTAAATATTTATTCTCAAAAATATAATGGATTCAATTAGATATGCATTCTATGAACAGGAAGTTAAAATGCTAGACAATAGGTAATAATGTAAAGGAGTTTCAGGTATTAAGCATCCCAGAAAACCAAGCTAAGGATGCAAGACTTGGCCCTGATTCTGTAAGTGCAGTTCCATTTGTGGTTGTATAAGATTAAACAAGCCAGATAAAGAAAATATTGGCTGTGATGTGTAATCAAACTCTGTTTAAATATTATCATTGTACTAAATAAAATATTCTAAAAATTATTTCAAAGCATGATAGTGCACAAGTGAAATAAAGTACATACCATAAACCATTTAGAAAGCAAAACAGAAAGAAATTTGAATTAAAATATGAAAATTGGAAGGGCATATATACATTTGAAATATCAGGTTCAACATTTTTTCTTAAAAATACACAAAAATAAACTAAACATATTTCCAATAATTTGTTAAAGCTCTTTTGAAATAGGCTTTACAATTTACCATTAAGAGAAGAAATGTACAGATTTAAAAAAGATGTCATGGGAAACTAAACAGATTTTATTCAACCAAATCAACCAACTGAGGTTTTTAAATTTCTGTGTTTTTCCTGCAACAGTTAATCATATTTTATCACCAAATTTTACAGACGTTTAAGGACCTCAATTCAAGTAGTTACAAATTAACGCAGAACAATTTTTGACAGTATTTAATTCATTTTAAGATTATTTTCAATTTAATGACCATGGACTTGATTCATATCCACTGAAGTCAACGTAAATAGGAACTTTGCCTATAGTGGTATAGGTTCTGGGCATATGTGTATATTTGGATTTAAGTTTTTAAAAGTCTGAGTCTGATGGGAGCCAGAAGCATAGACCTTTTTGGAAAGTAAAACAGCATACCATACTCTACTGGGGGGAAAAAATGGTATTTTATTATTAGAAAGGAAATTAGGTATCAAAAGGGAAAGCAAAAGGGGAAAAAAAAACAAAAAAACCACACAAACAATTTGAAACAAATGCTAGTTAAATTAAAATTAAGTTTTCTGACGAAACTTTCCTTTCTTGCTTTAGAGAACATAAACATTCTAGAATGGTACTTTTGATAATCTCTTATGTAGGATCGTAACTGTAATTATTAGGACTATGGTAATACTGGATTGAATTTGTATGTGCCAAAAAGCACTAACTATATCTGTCAGGTCTAATCTAAATGTGTTGGCTTTCTGAGCGCTTATTTTACCTTTTCATCTTGAATCGTCTGTAAATCTTTCAGTGACTTTTCTAGTTTTGATTTTTCTTCCAATGCAGTTGTAGCCTGAAATAAATTAGGAACAAAGACCAATAAGCTTTTTACTGAAAATAAGAGAGGTCATAATCTTTAAACATTTTTGGGTATATGTATATGTGTACACACACATTAAGCATTTAAGGGCAAGATTCACAAAAGAATTTGGGTTTAGAGATTCTGAGTGTTCCCATGCCTACAAGTTAGGTACCTGGCAGCAAGAGTGGAATTCACAAACCCAGTCTAGGTGCTGAAGTTCAGTTGGGACAAGGGAATGGACATTCGATTTGTGAAACCCAATCAGCTGTAGGCAGGTTATGGATACTTAAATGCTTGGTTCAGCCAGGATGGTGGCACCTTTGGACATACTTGATAGTGGACCCAAGCATTTCTGGGTGAAAATTTAGGTGCCTGGGAGTACTGAACTCCTATTATGATTATGCAGGATCTCTACGAATTCTTTTTTTAGATCTTTTGCCAAATCCCCCCCCCTTTTTTTTTTTAAGACATTTTTGTACACATTCCTTTGTGAATTTCGGCCAAGCTCATAATGAGTTTACCTGTGTTTCTATAGTTTTGAGTCTGGTCTTCAGTTTTTCATTTTCTTCTTGAAGTCTTGCAATTTCCTTGGATAAATAAACAAGCATTAGATTGACAATGCTCACTCTTGCATGACTGAATTTAACTTATTTGTAGTCACTTCCACTGTTTGGGGGGGGGGAAGTAAATATATTCTGTGGTTTAGAAAGCTAGGTAACTTGCAAAATGGTTAAAAAGATGACAATCATCGTGGGACACTGGTCTCTCTCCATATGGATTTAAGCCTGCAGACTCTAGAGCATTTTGCCTAATCTGGCAAAGAATTTAAGTAGCATCAAACCTAAAATGATGGCAAATATTAACTACAGTTTAATCCAACCTCAAATTAATAGGCATTTGGCAATTTATTCTCCATCTCTGTTCAAAAATATGGTACAGATAGTAAACTCTTGAAAGTCAGGAAAACTCTCCATAAAATTCTCTCTTAGCTAAGGAAGCCTTCAGTAACTCTCAGAATTTTTTTTTAAGTTGTAGGTGAAGACTCAAGTTAGAAAATAACATAGCTTAAATATTTAAGGTCCACTCTGCACATGCTTTACTTTGTAAACACGAGACCAGTTTTGCTTACATATATTCCTTAAATGCTTAATATTAACATTCATTCTTTAAAAAAGTGACACAGTTACATAAGTGTTTCTAGGATAGGGAGCTAAAGAGTTCACTTCTAATGCTATATTCACTATGGGAGGTCTGCTATTCAGACATTTAAGAATTGCAAAACATCACAAGCAATTTGACTTTATTTAAATCCTATTTTTTCTTATCAACACCATTTCACTGAATACTGCACGTAATGGCAAGCCAAGACATTACAGCTACTCCTCATTTAACATGGTAATTAGGTTCTTGAAAAATGAGACTTTAAGCAAAACAGTGTTAAGCGAATCCAATTTCCCCATAAAAATTAATGTAAATGGGGGGGTTAGGTTCCAGGGAAATTTTTCCCCAGTCAAAAGACATCATATACCTGGGTCTGCAGCCCCCTGACCCCACTCCCCCGTGCTGCAGCCTCGGGCAGGGCAGCTCTCCACTGCTGCACGCACTCTGGCAGGTAAGTGTGGGGGGAGGGGTGAGAGGGGGATTGAGGCCCCTGTATGAAGGGAGCTGGGCAGAGCTGGGGCTGCTCCCCAGCTAGGTGGGCCTTGGGGCCTGGGGCTGCAATGCATGGCTGCAGGGCCCCAACGGAGAGCAGGATGGGCCACAGGTGGCTCAATCAGGGGAGGGCCAGCTCCCCGCTGTCGCGCACAATCCCAGCAGGCAGGGGACCCACGCCCCCCCGATCTGTACCTGGGGCAGGCTCCTGATGCGGGCTCCCATCCTACTTTCCTACTCCGGGACCTCCGGCAGCCCTCTGGGCACAATCCAGCATGACTGGGGACACTGAGGTGGCATGAGCACCTCCTTGCTGCTGCACGCCTCCCCCACCCCCGCCATGGCAACGCACCTCCTACTCATCAGTTGTTCCAAGGGGCACAGCCCCTGCAAGCAGGTGTGTCACCAGGGCGGTGGGGGGGGGATAAGGGATGGAGCTTGGACTGGCGAGGAGATCCCCATGCCGCCCCACTGCTGTCTGCCACATTGGGTTGTGCCCGCAGAGGCTGCGGGGCAGGGAAGCAGGATGGCAGGGAGCAACCCACACCGAGAAGCTGGTAGCTGCTGCCAGCTCCGACCTGCTTCGCTCCCTGCAGCCTCTGCAACCCTGTGGGCACAACCCAGCGTGGCAGGCACCATCGGGGCGATGCGGTGATCTTCTTGCCGCTCCAAGCTCCCCCCACCGCTACCCTGGCGACACGCCTCCTGCTCGTGGGGCTGCATCCCTCAAAGCAGTGGCACGAGCAGGGAGCGCGGTGCCAGGGTAGCAGTGGTGGGGGCTGGGGGGAGGGAAAGAGATCACAGTAGCGAGGAGATCCCCGCACCACCCCACTGTCTCCAGCCACACCGGGTTGTGCCCACAGGGCTGCAGAGGTCCCAGGGCAGGGAAACGAGGTGGAAGCTTGCGTCTATAGCCTTCGTCTGCTGCAGGTTCAGATCTGGTAGGTTGCAAGTCCCCCCTGCCCCCCGGAAGCGTGCGCAGCAGCAGGGAGCCGGCCCCACCCTCCAGATGAGCCACCTATGGCCCATCCTGCTCTCTGCTGGGGCCCTGCAACCATGCATTGTGGCCCCAGGCCCCAAGCCCCACCTGGCTGGCCAGCAGCCCCAGCTCCCTCCCTACAGGGGCCTCAATCCCTCTCCCCCTCCCCCACCACACTTACCTGCTGGAGCTGCTCTGCAGGCTGCCTGGTGCCACGTGTATATACATACATGCACATTGCACCCCCTGTCTCACTAGCAGGTGGTGGCCAAACAATACTATAACAGGACATTGCATGACTTTAAACGAGTATGTTCCCTAATAGATCAGAGACATAATAACGAAACAATGTTAACCAGGACAACATTAAGTGAGGAGTACCTGTACTGATATAAATGATTCCAGAAGTTGGATACAGATATCTTAATGGATTACACTTTAACATTAAGACCTCTAAAATCAGATTCCAGTGACACAGATCAGAGGCTATAAAGTATGTACTCAGAAACTACAGAACAGATTTTTCTCAACATTAATATCTTGAAGAAATACTTAAATGCGATCTCTCTCTCTGGATACATCCTTTAAACCTTCCTCTCTGTATAGGGATTCCAGAAAACATTCATACTATAGAAAAGGACTGCCTTTGTAACACTGTCGCTGCCGCTCTCACAGGTCTGTTCCAGCTCAGTTATTTACTGCTTCTTGTTTGGTGTCATAAAATATAATAGTGCGTCACAAAACAAAGTTAGCAGCAACAGTAAATTTACCATTGCAACTTAAACTATGAACTAGGTTTAAAAAAAACATTTAAGCAAAACTGCAGTGAGTCCCATACATAGTTGCTCATATTCTAATCGTGTCCAGTTACAAACAAAAGTAAAATGTATTAATGAGAAAATGCATGTCACAAAAGAAATATCTTATAAATAAGGATCTTGATTTGTCATCTTGGTGATATAGGCTAAGAGAGAAAAATGCACTTCATCCTTGAAAATCTTTTGATTTCCTGCATATTGAAAAGTTGTTATAAGGCAAGCATGATTTCTTTAAACTACTAAATAAGTTAAAAAATTTAATACCAGTATAAATGGTTCTTGAGTGCATCAACATTAAAAAATTGAACTCGTTAACAGCAATCTTGAAAACCTACAGCAACTGGAAAATCAGAGATCTGCAAAATCAAGGAAAGGCAAATTCTAACACTTTCCTTTTAAATTGTGATTTGTGTAGAAAAAGTTTAACCTTCGGCCCCTGTTGCTGTCCCCTCCTTTCCCCCTGAGAAAAAACAAAACAAAACAAAAACACAAACCCACAACCACCTTATGGAACTTTACTTTTAGCAACCTGAGAAATTTCTGATCTTCCACTCATTTCAATGAGGTGTCATACCTCTTTTAATCTACTTTCCAGAAGGAAGTCTATTTTACTGCAATATCAACAATATGTCAGGCTCCCAAAAATATATTCATTAAATGGAGATAATGAAACCATAATGGATTTTACTAAAACGTATGTGCAAAAGAAAATTTCATAAATGTAGTGCACTCGGACTAGGCACAGACATTATTTTTAGCAGTATAAGTGATCTATACCCGTAAAAGAAGTTTGACACACAAAGACTTTTTTTTAAATGGCGGAATCTGGTCTAAGATTTGGCCCCTCCACCAAAGGATGACTGACTGTGTGTTATTTAGGTTGTTGTAGTTTTTTTTTAAAGTTCTGTAGTACACTACTATAACTTCTAAATGGCATCTGATAGATTACAGAAACAGTAGATTCTAAATTCAGCAGAATAAATCAAAATATGCATTTATCACAAATATGTCAGAAGATGGAACTCCTACCTTGTTTAGCAGCTCTGACCCACCTTCATTTAATGGAGCAAGTTTAGGTTTAACGAGTTCTGCATTGGGCTGGAATAACAATAAAAATAATAGCATTATTTTTCATAGATTTCATAGACATTAGGGCTGGAAGGGACCTTGGAAGATCATCGAGTCCAGCCCCCCGCCCGAAGGGCAGGAAGTCAGCTGGGGTTATAGGATCCCAGCAACATAAGGATCCAATTTACTTTCAAAGGTGTTCAATGTAGGTGCTTGAACCACCTCCGACGGCAGGCTATTCCAGACTTTGGGGGCTCGGACAGCAAAGAAATTCTTTCTTATGTCTAGCCCGAAACGGTCTTGCAAGAGTTTATAACCGTTTGACCTCATCATCCCTTGGGGCGCTCTGGTGAACAAACGTTCCCCCAGGTACTGGTGGTCACCCCTGATAAATTTATAGGTGGCCATCAGATCACCCCTGAGCCTGCGCTTTTCCAGGCTAAAGAGCCCCATGGCTCTCAG